GACGTCAACTTCACAATCTGTAATAGATGCATCTAATAGATATGGATTAGGGGTTGAGCTGCTGGAAAGCAGCTCCGCAGAGAGGGATTTGGGAGTCCTGGTTGACAACAGGTTAACCATGAGGTAGCAGTGTGCCCTCGTGGCCAAGAAGGCCAATGGGATCCTGGCCTGCATCAGGACGAGCGTTGCCAGCAGGTCGAGGGAGGGGATCCTGCCCCTCTCCTCTGGTGAGGCCACGTCTGGAGTATTGGGTGCAGTTGTGGGGCCTGTCTAGCCTGGAGAAGAGCAGGTTGAGAGGAGATCTGATCAACACGTACAAGTACGTTAGGGGAGAATGTAGGGAGAATGCTTGAGCAGGGGGTTGGACTAGATGATCTCTAGAGGTCCCTTCCAACCTCAACTGTTCTGTGTGATTCTGTGATATATTGATAAGCTTCCTTGGATTTGAGTGAACATGGGCCTATTTTGGTGTAGTATTTGGTACACACATGGTTACGTATCTACCTAAGAAGATATTAGCTTTTAATTTTCCAAAATTGTTGGGTTGTCTGTCTTAAAATAATTAAATATCCAAAAAATAATCAAAATCAAATCATGCCTTTAGGGAAAAAAAAAAAGAAAAAGAGAGAGAACTGAAATACTTATATTAAAATTGTAAGGGAGAGAAGATTGCTGTGTTGTTATGTGGCGATTTAAAAGGGAAGATGAGCATGAGCCTGTAGATTTAAACATTAAACGTGTGTGCTATTGAGTTAGCCTTTATGAGATGAATTTTTAGCGCCTATGGCAATTAAATCCCAGCTTATTTGATTATCTACAGCTTGAGTTCTCTTGTGTGTTACTTTTGGTCCAATCATGTAAAATATGCAGTAGAGATTTCTAATTAGGATTAGACAGTTCCCTTCAGTTTAGCTCTAAAAAATCTGATTGTACCAGGATATTCCAGGCAAGTACATAAGAGTCAGAGTTGTTTCTTGGGGATAATTCCAACTATTGCAGGCAGTTTCAAATTAAAGGGAAATTACTTTGCATAATTGATAATGGTACATTACCCAAGCTACTTCAGAGGTTAGATGGTGACTTTTTGCCATGAATTATGGACAGTTTTTGAGATCCTCACTTGGTGGATTAAAGGGAGATGGACAGTGCTTTCGTATTTGTACCTTAAAAAACTAAAGGTGGAAACTCCTGCAGTGACAATAACTGACTAGAAACTCCTGCTGCTGATCCTCAGACAGGATGTCTGACCCCAGGAATGTTCAATTTGGAGGTCCATCTGGACCTGATACTAACTCAAGAAAGAGCAGGGAAATTATTATTTTTAAATATCCTGCTTTGCCTCATGGCTTCAGAAAAAAATGCTCCCTAAGAGCAACCAAATGTCTTGGTTGTTGCTTTGAGCTTTAGCTTTTCTGTTTCCGTTGCTGCGTAGCCTGTCCCCAGTGCCACCTTCCTCGCAGATCCCTCTGGCATCTGAGCTCCATTAGATCCGTGTTCAGGCAAGCAAGGCCCTGAATGAAAACTACCCGGGCTGTTATGTTTTGACATAAGTTTTTGAAGATCAGCCAGCCTGAGACAGGAGGATATCGTTGCACTTAAGTCAACTCAGGCATCTTGATTGGCAGTTCCCTGCAAAAGCTGGTGTCTGTGCTTTGGAAGTGTAGGATTTTTAATTTGCTAGTTGTCCTCCTCAGTTCCTTCAGTGTCTTTAAAGTGTCACCATCCCACTCCTTGTAGCCAGCTCTGACCTTCACATCCCTGATGAGTTTTCCTTATATAAGCAGCAGCACCAGAAGAATGCCCCCCCGCCCCAATTTTTTTTTGGGGGGAGGGGATTCCATCAAAAAATTGCCTTTTCACAGAGTTTCCACAGACTTGCGCTCCCTCCCATTTGTTTCCCAGCCTAAGTGACTTCATGTGAAGGCATTTCAGGTGGTTCGTGGCCACGTGCTCTAGAGAGTACAGGAACTGCCCCTGCTGCT